TCTGTCTTGCTCAGCCACTTTTCTGGGAATATGTCAGCCTGTCTTTAAACCTGCTCTGATTTTAAACTTCTTTCTGATGCTGTCTGATCCCTAGCAAATATAGATGATAAAAATCTCTTTTTTGTTGTTGTTGTTGGCATATTTTTACCCCACAAGTAGACACAGATGCAGCAGAGGAGGTCTTCCAGTAGCTGCCTGAATGTGGCATATATCAGAGGAGTTATAAGGAAACAAGAAGAAGTCATCTGCTCTGTGGCTGCACAGACAAGAGGGGCGAGACAGACAAGAGGGGCAGTGATCTGGGAGGAAATATTCCTGGAACTTGCTGTGGTGTTGGAGAGAGTTGCCTGTAAAATGGAGAGCAGTTTAAGGCAGCAGGATGAGGGCCTTAGGAGAATGGAGAAACAAGATCTAAGTTGGGGGTGAGGTGCAGGGGGCTTGAGGACAAAAAGATTTCAGAGGTACAAGAGGAAGTGAAAGCTTGAATCAAAGCAGCTGAAATATTGGCTTTAATGTCTGCTTAGATCAAAAATAAAAGTCTGTATGGATTAAGAGATAATCCACTAGATAGATTTAATCTACCACATCTATTACTTCCCCAAAGAAAAGCATTGGGAGGGTAAGGTTGATTTGGCTCAGTGCCTGGGATTTGAAGGTAGGTGATTATTCTTTTTCCACAGGCCTCCTGTTCACTTGTCCCAAAAGGAGCACATCCTGATGAAACAGGGGGGCTGTTGCTGTAGCCTCCTGCTTCTTTGCAACTCCAAAGTCACATTGAATCTAACTAAAGGCGTTTCTCAAGCAGAAGAGAGCACCGAGAGCAAAATAACACAGCAGTGACTAATAACTTAGGCATGGGGTAGGCTCAGACACTGATGGTGGCTTTGGCTGTCTGAGCAAAGGGTTCTGAGGGGCAGCAACGGGTATTTTATGAACACTTACCCCTGCTGTCCTGAGTGCAATTGCCTTTCAACCAAACACTGCTCAGTGACCAGCTCCAAATGCCACCTTGCTTCAAGCACTTTGCTCCTGAAATCCTTGACAACATCCCTCCCTCCCTTTCTCTTTCCTTTCTTTACAAACACTGGTTGACCCGTAGAGTAAGTTCAGTTTCCACAGCAGTAGAAATACTAAAATTACTGGAGGATGATTGAACACAAGAGGTTTTTCTCCATGTATTTTTTCTGTATCGGTACGGTATATTGTCTCTTTTAACTAACACATGCAGCTGTATCTTGAACTGTACATGCATAATAGTCATGCACTTCTAGGAGGCTGTAGATATGATGGAATTTGGATTAGTTGGATTGAGGAGGTTTAATATTTATTTTCAAAGTTATCTTGTTCAGCCACAAATAAATTAATTCTGTAGACAGATGTGTATTCCTTCAGTGTTGTGGGCCTGCATCTGTACCACCTCAGGTGAAGGTTTTTGGCAGAACTCCTGAGGTCAGTGGGATTTGGCCTGTCAAATCCTAGAGTAGCAGATCACAGGAGAGAGTACAGAGTGCCTTGGGGAGGAACTGTCATGGTTTGAAACACCTGAGCTGCCACTGGACAGCTTCCCCAGCCTGTGCTGGGAGTGGCCTGTCTGCCTGATACTGCCCTTTTACTGATCATATTTGGTGGGCAGTAGGGATGGATGAAACTCTGGATGTCTTCCCTCTTTCCTTATGGATGCACCATTACTGTTGCAACTAGGACACAGTAATTGGCAGTCATGTCCGGGTTTTAGAGCTGTTTCCTTTTTAAGAGAGGTTCCAGCAAATTTTAAATGAGAAAGGTGTGTGCAGCACGGTGGACTGAGATGAGATGCTTTGCTCTCTGTTATTCCCATCGTGCTGTCTGTGCTACAGGAGGGATGAGGAGTCTGGCACTGAGAAGCCCTTTGGAATAACCAGTGCACTGCTGTGTTTGGTGGGGCTGTAAAGGGAGTTGTGCCACTGTTCCTCTCCTACACAGGTGTTTTGGAGGATGAGAGTTAAATGTGGGAGGGGTTAAGAGTGAAAGGTAAGTGTGACTGGGGTTCCTCAAAAACTCCTTTGCTTCTTCACAGCTAGCAAAACACTGAGTGAGGCAAGGGAGAGGAAGAGGTTGATACCTGGTGAAGCACTGGGGATAATGTGGGGCAGGAAAGGGAGCGAGGGAAGCATTTCACTGCCTCATTTGACCCACTCACATTCATGGAGTGGAAGGAAGGAGAACACTTACTGATTTCTAGCTCTGAGCTTGCATAACTGCTTGCTTAACACTTCCTTCTGGGAGAGAAACATGTGCCCTGTCAGGTCCTGAAAATTGTGTCTGGGAGTCAGCAGGGTATTGGCTAAAAGGCAATTGATACCTTGCTTTTATGTGGAGCTTCAGGAAAGCTTCGTTGAGTTCTTCTAGGAGAGAGGTCTACTCACAGGTGAGAGAGAAAATTGCATCATTGATTTGAGGGAGAGCAGCAAAGCAGAAATAAATGACTGGGGTTTTTTCAGTTTTGAAGGAAGAAAAAATAGTCAGATGCCCCCAGGAGCAGTACTGGAAATAGTGTCAATCAATACAATTATGAAACTTCTAGAAAAGAGATGAACTGTGAGATGGGAAAATGTTCTGGGGAGAGCAGTTAGGGAAGACTTAGGTACTTCAGAAGCATCTCACACTTGAACAAAACCAGGCAATGGGACAGCCCTATGACACATGAAACTTGCTGCAGACAGGTGCTAGGAAATGCACATTGAAAGGAACAACAGAAACTACTCTGAGAACCTATCAAGTGTATAAGTGATGCGGACTTACTCCACTGAGGCAGAGGGAGGATGTGGGAAGAAAATCATGAACAGATTTGTACTCAGTGTTGGTACAAAATACAAGCTGTTAGACTGTGTTTAAAATAAAAGGATGGAGAAATGGAGAATAATTCTGAGAGGGAGAATCTCATGAGGTTCAATTTTGCTCATCTCCTACTCCAAACAGAATAAAGTGGAAACAGGCTGTGTGTTATCCTGCCATATGCATAAGGAAGGTTTTTCATGCTTCCAGGAACAGGGGAGCATGGCTATAACAAACACTTAAAGCTGTTTAGTGAAAGAAGTGGGGTACTTTCAGAATGATACAAAGTAAAACAGGTTTGTGTTGGCTGTTTTTCACTACCTATGTTGTGGGGGGCTTTAGTGAGTCCATTTCTGTACTGTAATAGGGAATGTGCTGCACAGGGTGAAAATATTTGAAAAGATGGATTTGATACAGTTTGAAATTGGGAATCATGGATCACTGCTGATGTCAAATTTGTTGCTGAAGGGAATTATACAGACAGAGCAGAAAAAAAGTGTGAGAGCTCTCTCAAAAGCAAAGAGGGACTTTTGGTGAAATTGAAAGACAGTACTTGAGATTGATTTTTACAGGCACAGAATGATCTGATGGAACTCGTTGCTACAAAACACGGGTGAAGTGGAGTGCTCTCTCTCCTAATGGGTTGTATAGCCATAAAAGTACTCTTTGCTGGTTTCATTGGAGGGGTGAATGTTCAGAACACTTTTCAGCTTCTGAGCTTGAAGCTAGGGAGAACCTGCTGGTCGTGCATGGGGAAGGCAGGTCTCTTCTGAGAGGGTGACTCCGTAGTTTCCTGTAGCTGATGTCTGCTCCCAGTGTCCCTCCTGACCTCTAGTTGAACCTGTGTGACAGTTCCTGCAGCATGGCAGCCACTGTGCGTGACATGCAGAAAGTTTTGGCTGTGCCCCTGGCTGCAAGGTGTCTGCTGTAGGCTTTGAGGGAAAGGAATATGTCCATGTGGTGAACACAGAGGTATTTAACCAGTGTCTGCTCTCCCCTGTTGCCACAGAGTGCTTTTCACCTCAGTCCCAAAGCATTTTGATGCTGATCTAGTGTTATGGTTTATCCCCAGCCTGCAATGAAGCACCACACTGCCCCTTGCTTACCCTGCCCCCAGCAGGCTGGGGGGGTGGAGAACTGGAAGGGTAAAAGTGATAAAATTCATGGGTTGGATAAGAACAGTTTATGGAAATAAAATATTATGGTAACATAAAAAGAAAAGAAATAAACCCCACAAAAGACAAGTGATGCGAATGAAAAACAATTGCTCACTACCAACTGAACGAAGCCCAGACAGGCTCTGAGCAGAGGCCCCCAACCAACTTTCCCCCTAGTCTATATGCTGAGCATGATTCCATATGGAATGGAATATCCCTTGGGTCAGTCAGGATCAGCTGTCCCGGCTGTGTCCCCTCCCAACTCCTTGTGCACCCCCAGCCCACTCACTGGTGGGGTGGGATGAGAGGCAGAAAAGGCAAGCCCTGCTCAGCAATAACCAAAACATCCCTGAGTTATCAACAGTGTTTCCAGTACAAATCCAAAACACAGCCCCATACCAGCTACTATGAAGGAAATCAACTCTACCCCAACCAAAACCAGCACATCTAGTCATGCAAAAATTATGCACATTATCGTGCTTCATTTCTCCAAATGAGGACCTAATCTTGTTTAACTGATGTGGAAACCAAATCACAAAACTGCTAAGCAACATAGACAAAGTTGTGTAACGAACTGCTGGTACAGGAGAGGACAGTATAAGCCATGTGACTCCTGAACTCTGCTCATTAACATGTGTTGCCTTTCACTTGTGACAAGTCATTTTTATTAAAAATATGTTGGCAGTTGATAACTGGCTGAGGCTTTCTTGTCAGCAGTACCTGCAGAGAGGCTTGTGGCCCTCTGGCATTGGCAAAAAAGCTGCAGTTTTTCCATCTTTCTGTGCCTTAAACAGCCTCAGGAACATTGTGCTGTGAGTCATGGACTAGTCCTACTTCGTGTCATGTCGGAGTACATAAAGCTCTCAGTGGGATGGAGATGAGTGTGTCTCAACCAGTACTTCATTTTGCCCTTTGAAACAACCCAGTCTACAGAGACTTGCATCCTTCTCTGAGAGTCTGGGCACTGGCTGTTGCCTAAAAATCACTGATTCTGGATTCTTCATCCTAGGAAATGTGCTTGCTTTCTAGGATCTCTCAGCGGGTGGAGGCCAGCCGGGCACAGCTTCAGGCAATTGGCGAGAGAGTCACACTCGCCCAAGCAAAGATTGAGAAGATAAAGGGCAGCAAAAAGGCTATTAAGGTAGTAACTTCAGCCACAGGCTGCACTGTTTCCTTTCTTCCTTCCACCTTCTCTCTGTACCTCTGATGTAAGCTCTGGTGAAGAAAGGGTGCTCGGCCACCACAGCTGCTGCCCACTCACCACTCCATGCCTTGCTGCTGAGCAGGGTCGTGATGAGAATCCCATTCCTGACTTGGCCAGCTGATGATTTTTAGACCCATGAGACACACAGCCCCAGGCTTTATGGGGCCTTTATAGGTTTCTGTCCCAGCTGCTTCCTGAGAAAGATGAAAGGCATGTGCTGAGTAAGCCCAACACCCTCGCACTTCAGACTCATAGGCAGTTTGGCTATTTGAGTGAAAGCTGCTGTTAGAGAGCCCTTAGTGCATCTTAATCCCATTGAGCCATGTAAAACTGGTGAAAATCCTCCTTTCACCATTCTTGCTCCATTTTATACAGTATTTCCAACTCCTTTCCTGCCAGTGGAAGCATTTTTGCCAGTGATCTCCTTTTACTTTTATAGAGACGTTCTGGCACTTCCAGTTTCAGATGTGGCAGTCCATGCACGTAACCATTAGGAGCCTGCTATCTCCAAGGCTCTCCATTCCCATTGGCAGCACAGATGGGGTGCTCACTCCATTCCATGTGTTTCTGTGTTGTAGAATTTCCCAGCTGTTGGGTTGTTTCAGTCCCTCCTTGTTTCTCCACAGGTATTTTCCAGTGCCAAGTACCCAGCCCCTGAACGGCTGCAGGAGTACAGTTCAATTTTTGCTGGTGCAGAAGACCCAGCTAAACAGAAAGGGCCAAGGCACAAGATTCAGAGCAAACATCGAATGCTGGATGAGAAAGCTCTGCAGGTAAGGAGGAGAACAGACCTTGGCATGAACAAGCAAAAAGAAGCTGGGAGGCTGTTAGTCTCTTTGACAAAGTGGATCAAGGCTTTGGGGTATGGGCTGGGAGCAGAACATATTTTCATTTGGTCTGTCAGTGAAAGGATGTGAGATTAGGCTGGGAAGCTTGTGGAGATGCCAGTTTGAGAGGGCTGTGTCAGTACAAGACCTTGTCTGGGTGGTTGAGTGCTCTGGGTGTCTGTCAGCTGCCAACTCTCTGGAGCAGTTCCATTTCCTGAAATGCTCTTTTCTGCAGCAATTGTTGGTGGGTGCTGCTGCCTGGGCTTAATCCTTCGACTGTGTATGTCTGGGATCAGGGTCATAGCTGTTTAGAAAATAGTTTCTGAAGGCTCTGATGTAAGTGATGGTGAGAGGGGAAAGGTAAGAAAGATTATGAGTGTGTCAGGAGAAAAAGAAGTCCTTCATTAGAGCATTGGAAATTGTTGCACTTGGGTGTTGTCCCTTCCTGGTTCCCAGCAAAGTTGTACATCTTGGGGAGGAGGGAAGATCGTTTTACTGCTTCTTTAGTTTGTGCTTTGCTTTTCCTTTGCCTACATACAATAGATGTAGCTCATCTACTGTAGGTTTCAAGCCCTTCAGAGGGGCTGAATCTCTCAGTACCCAGCCCAGGTGGGGCTTCCAGGTGTGCCCATAGCACAGATGCCTGCAGCTGGTGGCATTGAAGGAGGTTCTGAACTTTTGAGTTCCCTTTTAACCTGTGGATTGAGTGGCAGAGAGGGGAGGTTTTAGAGAGGTCTGAGAAGCAATGGGTTTGGCAGGAAGTGCTGCCAAAGGATTCTTCAACAATTTGGGTCAACATCCCTGGGTTGGAAGGACAGGAGGAAAAGTTGACATGCTTAAAGTTTAAAAGTTGATGTGTATGTGCTCTGTCAGGAGTAGCAAATGTGCTGTTCCAGGCAGGTTAAGGGATCAACTTGACAACTTCCCTGCTTTCCACCCCTAAAGAGACTTCCTTCCTAATCCATGTGTGACTTGGCCCAAAAATAAAGCTGCCACTGAATAATTTATCATGCTAAACTTTCCTGAGTGTTAATGGTGTTGAGGCCTCACACAGTGAGGTAGTTATGAATATTTCAGCCAGGCCAAAGAAGCAAGGCTGCTGGCTGACTGGACAGCTGGCAACCTCGAGCAGGGTCCCTGCTTCCTTCGGGTCCTGGCAGTAGGGCAGGGCAGAGCTGCATGGGACCTGCTGCCAGCCTTCGGGAGGCCAATTAGTGGTGCTTTCTGGTTGTTGGCCTCATCCCATCAGAGCGTGGGCAGAGCAGAGGTAGGCAGTGAGCAGTGAGTGGACAGGGAGATGTGTCCCCGCCCTGAAGGGCTGGTGCCGATGTATAGCCCCTTAGACAGGAGGAGAATTGAGAAGAGCTTCAGCTGGTAGAAAGCAGTGTCCTGCAGAGAGCCAATGGTGTGCCCGTTCAACTGGCCTGCTGGCTCCAGCAGGCTCCGCAAGCCTTTCCCCACAGCCATCTGCCTGCAATGCCACCTCTTCCCGGTCCCAGACAGTCTCCATACCTTTGCCATGTTCTGCCCTTTGTGACTAAGGCTGTCATCTCCACAGGGACTTTGTTTCAGGCCCTTGGGGATGTTTGTGTTTGTTGTTCCCCTCCTGTGACCCATCTTTTGATCCTCCTATGTGGCTGTTAATTTTTCTCTGGCTTTGCTGACCCTGCGTCCTGCAGGAGCCTGGTCACTCTTGTCAGGCTCACACACATAAGCTCCTTCATGTCTTCTGTGGGATGGGGGGATGCTGCTTCCAGCTGGTGAATGATGGAGGGCCCTGCACCAGGAGCAGTTGGTGTGTTGAGTGGCGCTTGGTGCGGCTGAGCTCTGACCGTGCTCCAGTGGGACAGACCCTTCTCAGCCATAGCTGAGCACGGAGCCCGATGTGCCTTGCAGTAATGAAATGTGGCAGGGAGAAGTCTAATGTTTGCATTTATGCCCTCCTCAATTATTTAGGGCTTTCAGCAGAGGCTCACTGCCTGTTTTCACTTCTAATGAGGGCCTCTTTGCTGGGAGCAGTCACAGTGGCCTTCGCTAACTCCACTCGCACATGCCCCACCAGGAAAGCAAACTCTGCTCCTGTCAGTTTGAGAGTAAGCAGTGGCAGCCTGTGCTCAGCATTTAGGGTTTGTGCTCAGGGGGGGAAAGCAGCTGAGCTGGAAATCTGTGTGGTTCTGCAGTTTATTTGAAAATGGTTCCCCCCTTGGAATTTCTTCTTTCTCCCTCCACCCCAAGCAAGTGAAAACTCAGTCATTGAGTGGACACTGTTTAGGTTGCTAAGGTAAGGACTAATGGATTAGAGTGCCAGAAACACAGTCCTCGTGGTAAGCCTGGAAAGCCACTTGATTTGCACATGGCTGTGGTAGCAGCTGGGCAGGGCTCAGCAGGGAGCTGGCTGCAGCCCCATGGAGCTTCCCAGGCTCTGTGCCTTGCCTTTGCAGTGGGAGCTGTGTATGGGTGCTGCACGTGCCCCTTGGGAGGCTGAAAAATAGGGTGGGAGACACGGTCTGCCTGGACTTCAGAAGAGGTGCAAGCACAAGTTACAGTCTGCTGCTGGAGTAACCTTGCTAGGCTTCAAAAATGTCAGTAGCTTAGCATGTCCTTGGGAATTCCGCCTCTCTCAGAGCCCACCATAGGCATGGGGAGGCTAAAGCAGGTTTTTGCCACTTGCTTATTTTGAAGTGCTTTTCCAGATAGCCTAAGCACTCCCTTGGTATGGGAGAGTGGGATTTGTGGTGTATCACACCAATTCCCTTTGTAATACCGTGTGCTTAATTAAACTTCAGAACCAGGGTGACCTTATGTATTTTTAACTGTAGGTTCTTATGAAGAAAAATGCCCGAAAATGCAGTGTCCTTGGGGGTGTGAGCCTGCCAGTTACCAAACTCCAGGCTGGGGTGTTTGAGCATTCAAGCATCCCTCAAGACTTCAGTATGTCAAGGCTGCTGAACTTTGGCTTAAGGCTTTAATCTTCCTATAAGAAAACTACTTTTTAAATGGCGTGTTAACTTCTGGAATTTACAGATGTGGGATATTATTGTCAGTGTGTAGCTGTTCCAAATTTCAAAACAGATCTAGGTACTCGAATAAGACTAGCACTTTGATGGCATTTGAATTAAAAGTTTCAGAGTAATACTCATGCTTAGTGCTTTCATACCTGCCTTAGATGAGGCTTATAAGTAAATGGTGGGTAATGGTTGGTTTCTCACTATGCCCTTAAAGTGACGCACAGTCTTCCAGTGCTAACTGAAATCTACAAAGAGAGAATTAAAAAAATACATATATGACTTTAGGGCTAAGTGTGTCTGAACAGTTCTAGCAAAAAAGTCAGTACTCCCTCATGCTTAAAAAAATTAAACATTGGGAAATGAATATTAATGATCAAAAGAACTTTTATTTTTGAGTCTCTGCTTCTACAGTCTGTAAATAAGAATTTGTATATTTTGCCTACTTCTGAAAAAAAAAATACAAGATGTTCATTTCAGTGTATTTTTCACAAGTTGGAACGTGAATTAAATCAAAACCTCCCAGGTCTTACAGCATTTTATAGACTCAGAGCATCATAGAAACTCCTAGTGGATTAACTGAGCTATGACTAAGCCATTTCTTAGTATTTCTGGCTATTAGATCCAAGACTGAAATTTCGAACAGGACAAACTGCTTGTGTCACTGAGATGTGGTCTTAAAACTGAACCAATGGTGGTCTCCATTTCCCCCATAAAAATACAAGGAGAGATGATACAGAGAATGGGATGGTGCAGAGATGCTGGAAGTAGTGAGGCTGTAGGAAGCTGTGGGCAGTATTCAAAGTGGTCATCTTCTGGTGAAGGAAACCACAAGTGTGGCCAGTTATTTAACCTGACAAACTGCTCTGGTTTCTCCTGATATGAACACGTACCGCCTTGCAGCTGCCAGGCTGCTGCTTGCCCTGGTTTGTGAAGAAAGCAGAAGTTGTAAAGGGGCTCAGGGGTGTGAAGGGGTCTGAGGTGGTGGGGTTTCCCCTCCCAAAATGTCTCTGGGTTCAGGAACTGATGCCTTTCCTCCCACTAGAGCAAAGAGTGCTGTGGGCGCTGAGCTTCATCCCCCGGAGCATGTGGCAGTGGGCACTGTCATGCCAGCTGAAACACTAGTCTGATGTGGGATGGCAATTCCTGTGCTCTATAAAAGTCAGGCAGTTCAGATGTAATAAGTCCTTTTCTAAAGGGAGTTCTATATATATTATGCATGAAGTTTTAGAACCGAGAGAGAGGAGATTTCAGTTCATTAGAGTTGAAAACTCCCGCAAATCCCTCAGGCTTTGCAAAACCATCTGGCACACGTTCCACCCTGCACACTCTTTTCTGCCTGATCTCTTGCCTAGTGCAGGCACTCTGTTTTTTCCTAACCTCTTTTTCCTTTGCCTTCCCTGCATACCCCAACAGTGGGATCACAGCTCTTAAAACATCAACTGAAGGCAGCGGAGGGGAGGTAATAGAGATGTTTGGGGGACTCTGCCTGCATGAAAATGTGTAGCAGTTGGAGACACCGTAACAAACGCCTTTTAGACTGTTGTGCTTGATCTCTGCCTCTGACTGTAGAGCCTGAGTGGTGGCTTTATCTTGGTGGGTCCTTGCCACAGCAACATGTGTTCAATATGACCCATCCATGGCACCAAAAGCACATGCCATGAGTCTGAACTGCCAAGATTTGTGTTGAGTGTGGGGTTGCGATGTTGTCCATGTGTTTCCTTCCTCAAAGGGAGGTAGAGAGGAAGCAGTAGGGTTCCCAGACCATACAGTGCAGCCAGCAGTGTGGGTTGTGGTGGCTGGGGAGAGCTACCTCAGCAGCCATGGTTTTAGTGTCTTACTACCTGTTATCTGTTTTCTTGCAGGAAAAGCTCAAGTATTTCCCCGTGTGCGTGAGCACCAAAATTCACCAGGAGGATGATGCAGAAGAAGGCCTTGGCAGCCTTCCCAGGAACATCAGCTCCCTCAGCTCCCTGCTACTCTTCAATACCACTGAGAACCTGTGAGAGCTGGAGCAGTGCTGTGCTGCTCACCTGCCCCTGCTTGTCCTCAGAGGAGCTTTCCCTTCCCCAGGGGTAGCAGTAACTGCTTGCTTGCTTTCCTGGGGGTGTTACGTATCAGGCTCCTGATAGGACAAGGTTTGCTACATCTGCACTGGCTTCCAGCTAGGAACCCTTTCTTCCCCATTCTTTCCCTTGGGTGGAGGGAGTTGTTTTATCTGCACCTGATCCTCTACTCATCTGTATTCAACCCAGTTTTGCACTTCGTGTCCCCAACTTAGTTTTTCCTATTGTTCCCCTGTAATTTTGCTCCAGCCTTGAGATGTGCTGTCACTCCTATCCTTCTCTGCTCTATGCCAGCTAGGTACTGCTTCTTCTCTTGATGATTCTTTGCAGCATCCCTTGACTGCCCTCACTGTTTCAATGTCTCCACCACCTCCCTCACTGCAGTTCCCTTTCCAGTTATTGGGCTTTGCCTTATGGTTCCTCCTTCTGCCCATATTGAAGAGCTTCTTTAAGCCGTTTTAGAGATTTCAGTTGCTGGACCTTCTCTTTCTTCTCCTGAGCCATGGATCATTTTCCCTTTTTGTCTTTCCTCCTGGACCTTGAGTGACAAGTCACTGGTGTCCTGCCACAGGCTGTGGGATGGTTCAGGCTGGGTGGTGGAAAGGGGAGGGCTTGGCAACGGTGGCACTGCAGTGGGGTTTGCTTTAGGGTGATTGTGGAGGCTGCACTGGCAGGGTGGGGAGCTGATCACTTCCTGGTTGTGGAGGGGAAAGGCTGGAAAATGTGGCTAAAAGAAGGAAACTGGAAGGCCCAACCTTTTTGAATGAAGTCAGGCCTTCTTGCGTACACTTTCTTCTGGTCTTTGCTCTCGAGGTAGTATCACTAAAATACATGTCCTCTACTCTTAGGTACAAGAAGTATGTTTTCCTGGATCCTCTGGCTGGAGCAGTGACCAAGACCCATGTGGCTCTGGAAACAGAGACAGAAGAGAAGCTCTTTGATGCTCCTCTCTCCATCACCAAAAGGGGACAGCTGGACCGACAAGTGAGATGCAGCTGTATTCCCTGCAGTGCCCCTGTTTGCTGCAAGTGCATAGTCACTGCCTTATCTTGCTGGTCTGGGTTTCTTTTAGGTAGCTGAAAATTACTTCTATGTGCCAGATCTGGGCCAGGTCCCTGAGATTGATGTGCCATCCTACCTGCCAGACCTGCCTGGCATCGCTGCAGATCTCATGTACAGCGCTGACCTGGGCCCTGGCATCGCACCGTCCGCCCCCAGCAGTGCTATTCCAGAGCTGCCCACCTTCAACACTGAGTTGGTGGAGCCTTTGCAACCAGGTATTTCCAATTCCTGATCCCAGGACTCTGTGAAGGAGGAAGGCAGAGATTGCTAGAAGATGGAGACGAAGCAGAAAGTCCCTTGGTAGAGATTTTAAGATACCTTTGGCTTGTGCTTAGGCCTGAGTGAAAGCTGCAGCTGTCTCAGGTGAAAGCTGAGTGAAAGCTGCCCTGACTTCAGGCCCCTTACCTCCCTCACCTTCTGCATGGCTTGGGAGGAGGGACCACAGTGTGCAGGAATGGCCTCGTGTCAGCCTGGTGGGATGCCCTTGGCGAGTGGGATGCAGCTGGGGAAGGGAGTAGGGGAATCTCAGACTTCACCTTGGCCCTGCCTGCTGGCCAGAGATGGTGCACAGGTGGGAGTGCTCTGCTGCACGGCGTGTGCTGAGGACTCTCATCATTGCTGCTGTGGCAGCAGTGTGACCTGTGAAGCTCTGAGCTGAAGCTCTCAGCGTGCCATTCTCTGGGATCCTTCAGATACAACTTCTTTCATCTTTCAGATCTTCAAGATGCTGAACTATTGCCACCTCCTCCCCCCCCGCCTCCCCCACCGCCTCCTGTTGTGTCAACCATTGTGCCTCCTCCGCCGCCCCTGCCCCAGCCCACGGCCCCCTCGGAGCCGGCCCGGACAGTGAGCGAGGAGAGCAGCAACACAGTGCCTGCAGGTAAGGGCTGGGCATCTCCACAGCTTCACCAGCCCCGTCTGACTCTGACTCCTTGGCTTCAGCCTGTGTCCTTGGGTGGTTTCCTGTGCCTTCCCAGCCTTCCAATAGAGTGGGGAGGCTGGCAGGGTATTGGAGTAGCCTTTTCCATTGGAATTTGGGTGGGCCTGTAGCTGATGCACTGACCCATGTGTGCTGCCTGTCCTTCCTGTCCCTGCAGCTTCTGTCCAGGGAGCCCCAAAGGAGGTGGTGAACCCCTCTACTGGGCGTGCCAGTCTCCTGGAGTCCATCCGCCAGGCCGGTGGCATTGGGAAGGCCAACCTCCGCAGTGTCAAGGAGAGGAAGCTGGAGAAAAAGAAACAGAAGGAACAGGAACAAGGTGCTGAGGCCCTTCAGCAGAACTGCTCTTCCTTGCTCTCTGCCCCAGGCTGGGGAGGTGTGGGTCTGGGGGCAGGCGGGCAAGTCAGGAGCACAGTGAACTTACAGAGCAGAAAGGGGTTCTCTCTCCTCACAGACCTGTGTAGGTCTCAGGTGTTTCCCATTCTGTGAACTCACTGAACCCCGTCTGCCAGGGCATCCATGTTCTTGATGGAGGCATGCTCTGTCTCAGGGCACATGTAGAAGTTTCCTGTGTGCTGCATGGGAGCAGGCACACAAATGAAACCCTAAGGCCAAGAAGGGCAAGGCTGAACCAGTCTGAGCACCTTGGCTGAGGTAGCTGGGGAGGGGAGTGATGGAGCTGGTTTGGCAGAATGAGACTGCAAATGCACAGCCCCTCAAGGAATTCCACTCTTGGATTTCCCCAGAAGATGCCATTACCCTGCGGTGCCTAGTGTTCTCCTGACCTGAAACTGGGCTATAGTTTTGGGGTGTGATACAAGAATAGAGGTTTGTGGTTTTTTCTTTAATCTGAAGACAGTATTGCAGGAGAATGCTTTTGCCATAGTGCTTGGTTCAGACTAGTGTTTCTTGACTGACTTATTCTCCTGTTTCAGTGAGAGCTACAGGACAAGGTGGAGATTTGATGTCAGACCTCTTCAATAAACTGGTGCTGAGGCGCAAAGGTACTGTCCTGCAGGGTGGGCTGCTCCCTCCCCCTAGGAAAGAGGGAGAGCGTTTCCTGGCACCTCAGTTGTGTCAGCCACAGCTCTAGAAACAGAAACAGAGAGACTTTCCCCGGCAAGTGTACCACAGTGTGACTGGGAGTGTCTTTAGAGAGGGTGAGCAGAGGAATCTCCACCTCAAGTCCAGCTGGAGGCACTGGGGGAGGTTGTGTGTCTCAGTCAGAGGATGAACTCTGAAAGCTACGTGGACCCCTCACCCCTGGGGGCACCTGAGTTGCCCAGCCAGGGGCATTTAAGGCCAGACCATGCCTCAGTGCTGGGCAGAGAACAGCAGGGACTTGCTCAGGTGGAGCTGTACTTAAAGGAGCCCTTGGCACAGGACTGTGGCAGCACTGAACATGTTGGCAGCTCTGCTTATCTGGGTGCTGGGAGCATGGCTTTCGCCCTCCCCTTTGCTCAGTCTGTGTGTTCTCTAGTCCCTGGGTGTCACTTACTGGTGCTTTTCCTTCCATCACAGGTATTTCAGGGAAAGGGCCAGGAGCCTCTGGGAATGCCGATGCTCCAGGCAGTCCTGCTGGTGCCTTTGCTCGCATGTCGGACTCAATTCCACCCCTCCCACCCCCACAGCAGCCCGTGGGTGAGGAGGATGAGGATGACTGGGAGTCATAGATGGGGTCAGTTGAGCATTAGTGTCAATCTGCTGCTGTCTGAAAATTTTAATAAAGTTGAAGGAAGCAGGTCCTTCCACCTTCATTTTGGTAAAAGTGGGAAGTGTCATCAATTAAGGGTGTGGAAAGGGAAAGCCCAGCTGTCCACTCATGGCTGGTGGGGACCAGCCTTACAGCCCAGCACCACCAGCTATAAGATGGAGGGCACCAGCTGCTAGAAGCAGGTGCTCCCCCTCCCTCTTTCACTGGGGTGAAGGCAGAGCTTGTGCAGGGTTGGTACCCTCTGAAGGGGCAGGAGACTCACAATGGAAGTTTCTCATAGGCAGCTCTTTCTTTCCCTGTGGGGGTAATTAACATACAGGGAGTGGGTAACAGCTCTTGTGTCATAAGTACTTTCTTCATTGTGAAGAGCCTTGAGAGGTAGCATCCAGCTGCTGAAACTGGCAGAGAGGAAAAGGAAGCTCCTGGGAAGAAACTTACTCAGGATGACAGAACAAGCTGGGGATGGCTGTGGGGTGATGTAGCTGTCCCTGTTGTTATTGCTGCCCTCCAGCACTGACCTATAACCTTGGAAAGAACCCCAGGAATGTTAGCCTAAAAAAGTTACTTTTAATTGAAAAACTTAAGCAGTAGAAAGAACACAGCAGCCCTGTGCCTAAGCATGATCAAAGGAGAAGTGCTATATTATGGCCATATCCTTATTTCCCTGGAAAGAATGAACCGCTCCTCGAATCTACTGACAGCTTGAAGCAAGAGGATAAGAAATGTTACCTTGTGTCTTACCATTCCAGCTGTGTGTTATTCCAACAGGACACAAACTAATGGCCTGCTAGTTTACAATTCCCGTGAAAAGCTCTATGTTGTCATTGACCATCAGGCCTCCTACATGTGGTGGTTGATGGGAAAAAACAGATGTATTCAGTTAAAATAATTATACTCCCCATACTTAATGTTTTGAAAGTATTTAATCAATTTAAATAAAACCTTAACAGCTGTAAACAAATAGAAGCCTGCTGCTACTACCTTCACCTGCCTCAGACCTACAACCAGTTTGTTTTCCTCCCGGTTATGGTGCTGAAGGCTGTCTCACCATCATAGTGCTCAGATACTGAACAGAAAATATCCACAAAGGAGGCAGAATGCAGAGATTTACAAAGTCCATGGTATACAAAAGCAGATTGTGTTGCTTCACCCATTTTTCAGAGGTGTAACTCACAGAGGTGAATACCGTCTGTTCTCTGGGCCATGTCACAAAGCATCCAACTTCCCTCGATGGAACTGGGAACACACAAAACCAGACAGTTTGTCCCTGGCTTTACTCTAAAGGGAAGACTTGAGACAAGTCAAGATGGGCACAATGGGAAACACTCTGGGGAGCAGTACATGAGATAGAAGTTCTGACCTTTCTTAATTCTGCAAATGCTGATCCAAAGGCAGGTTTCACCTGGGTTCTCTCCCTGATCCACTGTGGCAGTTTGTTAAAGATGGCAGGCCGTGCGTACCTGTGGTCCAGGAGCAGAATGCTTGCAAAGTCCTTCTGGTGCCGAATGGCTCTGCCTGTACAGAGCATAAAACCAAAAAATGGTCAAGTGTTTGTTCTCAGACAAGGAAGCTCATGTTCCCATCATCTCTAAGTATGATTACCCAGACGACTGGGTAATGCTTCCTTTCTCCCACCCTGCTCCTTCAGTGCAGTCACATTTTGTATCCCCCAGCCTGTCCAAGGAAGGATGAATTACCTATCGACTGGTTTACTGCCTTCATGCACAGGTTTTCAATCAGCACTCTGCTAGGTGCCTGGCCAGCAGCTCTGGGCTGGAAAGGAGAAATAGGCAAGTCTGAACATGAGGCAGATGTAACTCAAACTAGGGAGTCTGAATGACACCGTGAGGCAAATGCTTTTACCCCTGCAGAGCGAGCGGGTGGCGAGGCAGACCCCAAGTGGAGAGCAAGGAGGGACAGAAGAAAGGTTTCAGTCAGAAAACTATGTTGAGCATTCACAAAGAGCCAGCCCATGGTCCCCTTGAAGGCAGAAATCCTGTCCCCAGCTGCTCGGGAACAGCACATCCAGTGAGCAGTAAGAAACAACAAATGACCCAAGACAAGTGATCCTGGCAAGCAGCTTCTACCACCCTGCCACCTCCTCTGGGGTAAAGGGTCCTTGCTCCCTTCAGAACTCAGAGTTCCCAGTGAGCCCTGATGGTATTTCCCTCCAATGAGCTTCTTCCCTGTGTTTGGTACCACCTGTTCATGAGCTGCCTGGAGAAGGCTGTGCTCTTGGTACCACACAGTCTGGGAAACCATGGCAAACTCAGAGAAGACAAAACAAAGCCTTCAAAGGCATCTCTTGCATGCCTGTGCTGAGAGAAAAGTTAATACTGTAAAGCAGAAGTGAAACAGGCAGAGATGTAATCTGTTACCATTGTTTTGTCAAGCCAAGCCATTTTTTCCTGAAGCTCTGGAGATTTAATGTTGGGGTAAGGCATTCCCACCATAATCACACACCTGCAAGGAAGGGAGTGCATTATTCTTAATGTCTCATCCTATAGCACTTTGCCAATAGACTGATAAATTAGAGGTCACTGCACCCCTGAAAGACAGCCAGCCCTGATAACCAAAGGTGGCAATAAAGCACAGCAGTCTGACAAGCACGTTCTGAACAGAGCTGCAGAGGGATTCAGGGTGCCAGAGCAAGGGATTGTCTAGCATAGCAAGCCTAACTGCATCATTCACAGGAAAAGTAGCCTGGACAAGCAGGTTTACACCACTTGTAAACCCTCCCGTTGTTTTAAGCGTCAGCTGAGGTCGTGCTCCCCAGGATTTTCTATCTATGCAAGTGACAATCCTGCTTGGAGTCACCACAAGCCAGAGCTCACCCCTCAAGAAGGAGCAGTCACCTTACCTTCCCAGGTCATCAGAGAAGTTGATCCCTTCACTCATTTTGCCTCCAACTACAGAAAGCAGCAGGGCCCCCGTCATCTGTCCTCCTGCCTGGCTGCAGCGCTGCAGGAGAGGGACCATCAACTTAAACCAGAGTTGGGAAGATTTCTGTGCTTCAGAAACACTCCCTCACCTGAGCTAGAGCCCTCTTGTTAAAGCTGCAGTGCCCTCTATAGCAGCACTCCCACATCAGTTGGGATGCCACACTCCCACCAGCCTGCCAGCTCAGCTTACCTTTATGCACTTGGCATATTCCACCAGCACCTGCTCCACCTGGTTGGCTTTCTTAGGCTCCTGAAAGATCTGTCACAGGCACAGTGCATCAGTTGCAACAACAGGAAGCAAACAGTTTAAAGAAAGCAAATTATTTCACTCTCACACCATTAAACAGCATATGGAACTGAGATCAGGGAAAGGCAAATTGCCTGAAAAACCAACTTAAGCAGCACCTTTCCCCTCCACCATGGAAACGCACTGCATGTTCACTTTCCAGCTGGGCTATGAAGGGAGCAGCAGCTGCTCCTGCCCTTCCAATATTCCCCTTCAGCTTTGGCAGACTTGTTTAATTCTGCAAGAAGTTAGAAGTTATCCAAGAGCTGAGAGGCAGGAAAGCAGTGTGCACCTCTTGCACCTATGAATCAAGATCCTCCAGGGTGAGGAGACTTTCCAGCTCCAAGATCTTGGAGGACAGTGACAGGACTGATCAATTTGAATCACTAATTAATTCCAAGTGATAGCTTCACTTGCCCAGTGAATAAATCAGCTTTTTATGCAATGCATAAATAAAGTAATATATCTTTATGTTATTCTTGCATGCCTAATTAGTTACTGAAAGCCCCTGCAGTTAATTAAGCTGTATTTTGATTGATGCTGCACCTTGGCCTAAATCACAAGTTGTTTTTCTAGTAAACAAGAGGTGCTACCTCTGTCTTCTCTGTGACAGTGAAGAACTTAAAGGATGTGTTTTTTCTTGGTTGGCAAGTACTATCAAATTTTACCAGTCAAAATCAGTCCTTCAGTAGAAAAATAACTGGCAATTACAAATGTAGGCCCAAACTAACTTACTGAAGAATAGCTATTTAATCCTTTGATTTAAATTAACTTTCCCTGCATTATTTATATACAATCTCAGTGTTATGTCACCACAGCCACCTCAGGACTCAAGCCTTCCCCTGCTATGGTCTGGTCTTGTGTGTAGGCAGCTGAAAGTCACACTTGCTGCAGTTGTACCAAATTGCTTTGCTAACGCATATCCAATCTGCTGGAGACTGCAAAGGCCAAACAAGAATAAATCAGAGCTGAAAGGCAGAACAAACTGTGTGATTGTGGCACTAAGCCTTGGAGGCACCAGCCAGAGCACTGGGACCCTGACAGGACACACCTGAAAGGCACGAGGAATAGTAGCTGTACAAACACGTGGAGAAGCCAAAGCATAATGCTTCCACCACAAAAACAGACAGATCCACGTGCCAGAATGCTGGCACCAAGGCTGTGAAATATCTGGGACTGTGCTCTCCTAATCCACATGCTAAGTTATTTAGCTTTTGGTAAACAGAAGTCACAGTCAGGGTATATGTAACTTTTTCACCCCCCGGCATGTGATCAAAGATCCCTGCACCACACCCTGAACTGCTTGATCTTCAATACGCCTGATCTTCAAATACTTGTGAAAAGTCATTGCAAAAATTTTTATATTTGCAGTGATCTCCCCCTTTAACGTGTTTCATCACTCCTTTAGCAGGAGTCACCACTGCTGGTCTTCCAGTTCTCATCTGTGTTACATCTACCAGGAAGCAAACCACCATTTTTCCTATGAACTGCAGCGTGGCCCCACACTGCCTAGCCCTTGGTTGTGCTGGTCTGTGCTCAAGGGACACACTGAGCCTGGGAAAAACAAATTCCCTGTAAGAGGTCAATCTGAACAGCCTCCCCAGCCACACAGGAACAAGCCTGCTGGTGATGGAAAGCAAAGACTGTCTCCCCCCATGGCCACTACACAGACTGTGCACTTAAAGAACGTATGGCTGCATTCAGTCTAATTTAGATCCCAGCTCAGTGATCAGCCACCCGGGAAGTACCATTTATTTGTAACTGGAGGGATTAGCCAGATAAAAATCCTCTCTGCTCTGCTGTGCAGGGTATGAG